GCCACAGGAAGTGGTGCTGGCTACAAGCATAGAGAGCTTGAAAAGGGTATTGGGTAAACATATGGAGCAGAGGTCCATCAGTGGCTATTAGCCACAAAGTATAGAGGAAACACTCTGTCTTGGGCAGTGATGCTCTGTATTCTTGTTGCTTGGGGGGCACAAGGGGGAGGGCTTATGCAGTTCTGGCCCTGCTGATGGGACTCCTGATGGCACTTAGGTTTGGCCACAGTGTGACACAGAGTCTTGGACTGGATGGACCATTGGCTTCTCTTATGTTTTTAAATATTTTGGGATATTCTGTAAAATGTAAGTATCTAGAATGCACAGATGATCTGGACAGTTAACATGACTCCTCCCACATATCTACTTCATTCTTGTAGAAGATTGCTGTGGAGGTAGGGCAATTAACTCAACTGTTTGGATGTATTTCAATCCTTTTTCCCGCCCAAACAGATTATGGAACTGATTTATGACTGATGATCTTCACCAGGACAGGTCAAAGGAGTTTGTCTTATTGATAGTCCAGTCTTCTTCACAGTTTTCAGCATCATCAGCATATTATTTTTCTTACTCAGGTAGATGTATTAGGATGCCATATTCTGGTACTTCCATTCTAGTTTAGTCAGAAAATGGTTCTGTGGAGACACCTGTTCAGATCATCCAGCATTTGCACTATGCAAACCCACATTCTTCTGTCTTTATCCTCAGTCCTTTTTAACATCTAAAATTATGAGCTTACATTCAGCAACTTGGAATGAGGTGTCATCAATATGCTGATTTTCATTTACATATGCACGAGTCCAACTATTTTTTGCATTTTTTAATATTTTGGGCTTCTGGCTATTTGAGACATTCTAACATTTACAGTATAGTGAAATTTGAGTGTCCGGGTGTTCAAGATTTGAAACTCTGGTCTGACATGGAAGCTCGCTATGTGAACTTCGTCCAGCCATGCCTTTTCAGCCTTCCTCATAGGATTTTAATCCTAAAACGAAAAATCTACATGAAAGCTTACACCTTGAATTAAAAAATTATAGGTCTTAAAGGTGCCACTGGACTCATACTTTGTTCTAGCTGCTTAAAAGTTAGGTAGAGAGTGTTTTCATCAATGGCACAAGCAGCTGTTGGAATTGTTTAAAAATAAAGGGGAGCTTGATTGAGCTGAAGAACCTTGACTTGGTGGGAGGGAGAGTTCTTGCTTTTCCTCCACATTGTCTTCCGAACATGAACCCAACTAGAAACTGTCCCCGGATGGGAGTTATTTTTCCCTTTTTGGCTGTTCTGTGTGCATAAAATAATCTTCTGGAGATAAAAACCAGAATTTTTTATATTAAATTTACAAAATCTTAGAGGAATACATGAACACAGGAAATAAATATTTACTTAATGGCACAGGTAGAGAATATTCCCTTTGGACTGCCATTGTTTATTTGCAAAGTTTTTCACCATTGAGAAAACACAATGTTTATAATAAAATCAAGCATCAGCTCTCTTCCCCCCCCCCTTTGGACTAGACAGTAAAATATTTGCTATCCCAAATCCCAATTTTATTAATCTTCTTTACTGGTCATGTATTTCATATATTTCATGTTTTCACATCAGTAAAAAATAATCTAATAAGTATCAAATATTGTTTCAAAAATGTACATGAACATATTCCTACTACTATCATGATATTGACAGTTAATTCACGAATGAATCAATAGCAGCATAAAGAAGATTTGGGAAGAAATTGGATTTTTATCCTATTACTGAATTCCATCATGCCTCTACTACTAAAGCTGAAAACTCAAGTATGGCCTCAGCCACACGGGCAGGAAAATGCGGGGGGGGGGGAGGCGTGGCTGTTTGCCCCGGAGCAAACTAACGCGCGACTGCACGATCAGGCATCGGGTTGAGGTTCCGTCGAGCTCCTATGGTTAGGAGGGAGGAGCCGATCACACGGCGTGGCAAAGAAGCGGAGCAGCATGGCAAACGGGGTTGTGTTTGTTTTAAAACTGAAATGTGCGCATGCTCCGTTGGGTGCTTGTGCGCATCCGTGGAGACTTGGGGGGGAACCCTTTTTGCAAGGGGACATGGGCGGGCGCCGGAACTACCACCGGAAACGCAATCAGATGCGCACCCTTGCCCCGCGGTTTTCGGAAACTAGTACCTCGGAGGTACTAGTTTTTTATCCTTCATCTTCGGTGGGAAGCCTCGGGTGCGCCACGGGAGCTCTATGCTTCCCAGATGTGGCAGTGAGATCGCACCCAGAAAATCCGCCTATCTTCCGTCTCTCTAGCATGCCTGATGCTCCGTGTGACCGGGGCCTATGTAAATGGAATGGAGACTATTACAGGAACCTACAAGTAATTGTTTTGCCCTGTAGATTTCATTCCAGACAAGTTTGATCTAATTACTCTCCATCTCCATCAAATCACTTGGAACTCCCACACTTGTTTACAGCTCTCATTAGAGCTCTTTTTACCTCTTTGTTTCTTAGACTATAGATGAGGGGATTAATTAGAGGGGTTAAGATTTTTTTTGAGAGATATAAACAACAAAACTGTTTAGATGGATGGTTCAGGACCCTCCTGTCTGGTGCAGAGTATCAATCGCTGGGTCACAAGTCTCTATACTGCTGCCATTTTTCTGTCTTTTCAAATTTTCTGCTGCTAATGTGCATGTGTAGTATCCTGGAAGCCATGAGAAAGACCCAAATGACATTAATCACTCTCAAGAAATTCTTTTATACCAAAGGTGGCCAATTGGTCCCACTTTTGTTAAAGTTATATAAGGCCATCATCCTTCCCAAATTGCTCTGTGCTTCCCCAATCTGGGCCAATGGACCAATGGATCCTCCTGATAAGCTCCAGCAAACTTTCTTACATAAGATACTTCCTCTTCCTCCCAATGCATCCTCAGCAGTGATGTAGCTAGAATTCAGACTCACTCATATTTTAATAATAGCATGGTACCATGCTATCAAGTTCAGATTATCACTTCATGAACCTAATGCAGTACTATCTTTACTGCAGTTAGTAATAGTTGATTCCTGATTGGAAATTTGGCTTAACCCAGTTGGCTCAAAGCTTGCCATATTAAATTTGAGCCTAAATTCCAGGGACTCACTGATAAAATCCTTGTTAACTGTACAGAATTGATGGAGGAATCAGCTTGGAATTTTACCAGAACCCAATCTTCTTCTTCAGCTTTGGGCACACACACTAAATAATCTACCTTCAGTGCACATTCCAACTGGATTTTTACTGTGTGAATGGGCAAAATCCAGTTGGAAAGTGCATTGAAAGTGGATTCAAAGTGGATTATTTAGTGTTTGTGACCACAGCTGAAGAAGAAGATTGGGTTCTGGTAAAATTCCAAGCTGATTGGGAATGCTCCACTATTTACTTCCATTTATCTCATCAGAAAACATTTGAATTACCTATATACTTGTTTTATTTAACACCCAAAATATTGCCACTTTTTCCTGTTACTTAGAAGAAATATTTTACTTTCCACTGAGATGAAGGGCTGTTTTAGTGAATACCCCCAAGAAATGCTTCTGTAATTATTGCAAAGATCAAATTGACTCAATTGCCAATATTATTTTTAGTAGCCCCCCCTTATACCTCATTTCGTAATTAATATATTAACCTAGGAATGACTGTCTACAGAACAACAGAAACTAGAGTTTTTATTGTCAGGGAATATCAGAAAGTGCAAATGTAATTTAGCTGTATTTATCAATGCAGTTATAAGGGAAAGGTATGAATATTATTTATTTGGTCATGTGTTTGAAGAAGACAAATAAGAGTTGGTTTTATACCCTGCCACTCACTACCCAGAGGAATCTCTGAGTGGCTTTCAACCCCACTCCCTTCCTTTTCCCACAACAGATGCCCTGTGAGGTAGATGGGGCTGAGAGAGCTCTGAGAGAGATGTGACTGATCCAAGGTCACCCAGCTGGCTTTATGTGGAGGAGTGGGGAATCAATCAATCAATCAATAAACCTTTAATAGCATATACAACATTAAAATCAGAAACAGAAAGTGACACAGTCAACTAAAAAACTGGAATAATTATAAAATCATGAAACGGAGTTTCCCAAATTTTTCACTCTTATCACATCAACTAAAAAATTAGCCACTGCCACTGTAATCTCTGCTGTTGTATCATTCAATAGAATTTGACATTTTCTTTCATTAGAAAGGTGATATTTACCATGCAACCAAGAGTTTAACCATTTTTCCCTAGCAGATACATGCAACGAACAGTCCAGCAGTATGTGATCAATTGAATCAAGAGAGCTTGAACCACAGTCACATCTCCGTTCATACTTAGGAATATTATGAAACCTACCATACAGTAGTTTTGATGGAAAGGCATTTACTCGAGCAAGGGGAAAAGCTCTTCGATGGCTAGGGCTATCCAAATTATACAAATACTGGGGAATACATCCCACATCATTCTTAAGATTTAATGAAGCTGAAGAGCAGACAGGGGGATGAAAGGGCTGCAGTTTTTGAAACTCAATATCTAAAAGCCTCTGTTTGATTGTATTAAAAATATACACTTCAGAGGAGAAAGCTAACTCCTCCAAGGAGAGGCCCAAAGATGTTATTTTGGATCGAATCAAACCTGGTTCTCCAGATTATGGTACACCATTCTTAACTACTACATTAAACTGATGTTTTCACAACAGTAATAAATACTTATCTGATGAGTATCAAACATTGTTTTTTTTGTGGGGAAGTGCCTGAAATAATCACAACATATTCCTACTAGTATCATTATGTTAACAGTTAATTCATGGATGAATCAATAGCAGCATAAAGAGGATTTGGGAATAAAGTAGATTTCCCCCCTCTTACTGCATTCCATTATGCCTTCACTACTAAAGCTAAAAACTCAAGTATGTGAATAAAATGATACTCTTACAGGAGCCTACAAAAAGTTGCTCGACCCTGTAAATTTTATTCCTGACTAGTTCGATGTAATTCCTCTCCATCGCCAGCAAATCACTTGGAAAACCCACACTTGTTGACAGCTCTCCTTAAAGCTTTTTTAACCTCTTCGTTTCTTAGACTATAGATGAGGGGATTAATTAGAGGGGTTAAGACTGTGTAGAAGACCGAGAACATCTTGTCCACTTCTCTCATAGCTTCTTTTTGTGGTAGCACATATACAAACATCAGTGAACCATAAAAGATGGAAACTACAATGAGGTGGGAAGAACAAGTGGAAAAGGCTTTTTTCCTCCCATCTGAAGAGGGGATTCGTATGATGGCAGCAATTATACAAATGTAAGACAGCACGGTCAGAAGAAAAGAAGGAACAATATTTATGAAAGACACGATGAGGCTCACCAGTGTCAACAGTGTTGTGTCACTGCACGATAGATTAATCACTGGTGTAAAGTCACAAAAGAAATGATCAATTTCATGGGGGCCACAATATATCAGCTCTGACATCAAAGACATTAGTAAAGTCATGACTGCTATCCCACAAAGCCAAGTTACAGCTGACAACAGAAAGCAGAGTCTTCTGCTCATGAGGGTGGCATAGTGGAGGGGCTTGCATATTGCCAAATACCTATCATATGACATTGATGCCAGTAGGTAGCACTCAGCAACCCCAAGTATACCAAAACAGTAAAACTGGATATAGCAGCCCCTAAAAGAAATGGTTCTGTCCCCTGTTAGGAAACTGGCCAACATCCTGGGGAGAATGGTTGATGTGTAGAAAGTCTCCAAACAGGACAAGTTTCCAAGGAAGAAATACATGGGGATGTGAAGGTGATGATCTGTGATTACTAACACAATGATGATGATGTTTCCAGTCATGGTCAGACTGTAGATTATTAGGAAAACCAGGAAGAGAGGAATCTGAAGTTCAGGGGTATTTCCAAATCCCAGAAGAATAAATGTACTTACTGTTGTTTTATTATCTGTCTCCATATGCTCCATTGTTTGAATAACTGAAGATGAAATTAAAAAATGATAAGGTATTAAAGTAAAAGACCCTAATCCTAGAAATTATTATACCCTCTCTCCTACCATCAATGCTGAGATTTATAAAATATTATCATGTGTTTTATTTGGGCATATGGAAACCACACCAAAAGACTTTTTTCTCTTACAAAGTTAATTGTGCAGTTATTACCTCATGTAGTAGACCATCTCATTGTTACTATGCAATCCATTGTTAGTTTTGGGCCATAAGATGGCTAGCATACACCATTTATTTATTTTACTTCATTTAAACTGTGCCTTTTACTCCCATGGGGCCTGAAAATGCCTTACATCATTTTCTTATCCTCCACTTTGTCTTAACAACAATCCTGTGAGGTAGGGCAGGCTGACAGTGGGCAACTGATTTTGTCCAAGCAAATTCCTAGTCTGTAATGGTTTCCTAGTGGAGTAGAATTTAAATCCAGGAAACCCTCTGATCAGCAGGCCTACAATCTAGTTTTTACAAAACAGCTGTTTCCCATGTTCTGGAACCAGCAGCACATGTTACTCACCCCAATTGGTAATGGAATTGTTCTGAATAGAAAATATCTGAATAATTCCTTACATTTTAAGATACAAGCTAAATGACATGTAAGAATACAAACACTGGGTTTGATCCCAACTATCTTGGCAATTGCCGCCAATACCACCCTCCTCTTGCACATACCCCTCATGCCATTCCTTAGGGTGCCTTATCCTCCAGAAGCAGGATTTCATGGAGATTAGTGGCCTGCATTAAGAAAGAGAAATGAGAAAATTTTAATCTATTGTTCAAACCAACAGCTTCTTGAGCTGGATGCATCCAACTTTCCATTCAACATCAGCCAATTCGCCCTCCTCATTACCGCCCCCATTTGTGGATTTGGGCTTGAATTGGAAAGTTGGCCAGATTCACACAGTCATAGCTACAAGCAGCTTATATTGTCACAATCACATCTTTTTGTACAAATGAGGCTTTCTCTTGGAGGTCATCATCCGTTGAATAAAAGACACTTCATATGATGGAATATGTTTTTGACCGAGTATGTCGTCATGAATCCTGCCTTATATATTCTCCCTGAAATAGTTTCTGAGAATCATACAGTTTTATCATCCGGTTATTGTAATTTATTTTTTTAAGGTTTTATATTGCTGGCTATGCGCTGTAACAATAAAATTCATTCATTCAGTCAGTCTTTAAATAAGTCCTATGCTATGTCATTAGAATAATAATAAGTACACACACAAACACTCACATAAAGCTTTTAATGTTAACCATCATGTGACAAGTGTTCCCTCTAAACAGAGTTAGTGTGAACTAGCTCACAGTTTTTTATCCTCTGGCTCACACATTTTTGTCTTCGCTCAGGAAGGATGGCTCCAGAACAAACCAATTTATGCAGTAGCCAAATCGCTTGCTCACAACGTTAATGCCAGTAGCTCACAAAGTAGAGTTTTTGCTCACAAGACTCCACAGCTTAGAGATAGCATTGTTTGTGACATCAGTAAAGAATGATTGAGAGGTAAGTCCATACAGCTGTTGCACATTTGTCAAACTATCGTAGAAAAATGACTAATATTTCCTGGAGGAAGTAATTTTATCTTGCCAGTTACCCAGTTCTGTAAGCAAAAGAGGCTTTATATAAGAGAACGTCTACAGAGAGCAACCTCTTGGTACCTTAAAAAAGGATTTTCAGAACAATTAGCAAATCCCCCTTCTAAAACATATGATGCAATACTCATTAAGACTTCAAAATACCCCTGTCTTTCATTTAGAATGTTTGTTTCAAACATCTATATGTCGCCTCTCCAGAGATCTGCTCAAGCAAGTTCTTACAAGTAAAGTGTCTTTATCACAGGGAGATTCATATTTCCCTCATTAACAAACACTCCTTTCTTCTTTTTCTTCCCTCTCTGATGAAAAAACTGAGTACCCAAAGACGTGTAATAACACAAAAGGCAAATATATTAACAAAATGAAGGGAATATATGGCAGAATGTTAATGAAGAAGACAGCTTTGACTCTTGAGAGCTCATAGCCCCTAAATCTTCTTCTCCTCTATGGTGCTAGGGGACTTGCATACAGCCACCATCATGAAAGTACGTAATGAGAGAGAGGTTCCATTTTTCAAAGATTTATATGAGAACTATCCCTTTTTTAACATATAGGCATTGGCATAGACATAATTCCTTCTGAGATTCTAAAATCAGATCCGGATTGGTGGGCTGCTCCTCTTTCATCCCTCTTTACAATTATAGATAGAACTGGCCTTATTCCTAATGCATGGCTGAATGCAATAGTGATCCTCATATATAAAAAAGGTGATTATACTATTCCTGCCAATTATAAGCCAATCAGTTTACTTTCTACAATGGGCAAGTTGTATACTAAACATTTATTAGCCAACTTACTCTCTGGATGTCGCAGCAAAATGTTTTGGGTCCAGAACAGTTAGGTTTTTGCAAAGGGAAAACAGGTACCTAAGGCCCCATTCACACGCTGAATTTGTCGCGGGAGAGCCACGATTGAATGGTGGATTTTCCGGGTGTGATCACACCGCAACATCTGGCAAGTGCAGCGCACCCATGGCCAACTCGTGGCATACTGCCGAAAATGCATGATAAAAAACTACCTCCTTGAAGGTACTAGCAAACGGTTTGCCACGGGCTGCCTCCGGACTCCCTTGATGTGATCGCGCCGGCACATGGCTTTTCCCTCCGGCCTCTCGTTGACATGCAGGTGCGGAGGGAAGGAACCATGGCATGCCACCAACGCATCTGGCGGCTCCAATTGTGGTAGTGCAAATAGCCCCGCCACCCCCCCCACACACTATCCATCCCGTGTGACTGGGGCCTTAGATCATTGTACTATTCTCATTTGATCAATAAGTATGTTATTCAAAATAACTCAAAATTATTTGTGGCTTTCCTAGATCTGAAGGAAGCTTTTGACTCAATTGATACGGAACTTCTTTGGGTTAAATTAACTCAATTAAATATGGACAAAAGACTTCTTATGCTTATCAAGAAGCTCTTGATAAGTTTAGTTGAGTTTAGTTGAGTTAAATTAACTCAACTAAATATGGACAAAAGACTTCTTATGCTTATCAAGAAGCTCTATACCTCCAACACTTGCCAAATTAAATGTTCATTAGCAGGCAAATTAACCCCAAAAATCTCTACTAATATGGGAGTCAAACAGGGTTGCATTCTAGCTCCCTTTATATTTAATCTTTTTCTCAGTGACTTTGCCCCTCGTTTGTCAGGAGCTGATTATCAAAGCCCCAAACTTGGCTCTTTACATGTACCCCTACTTCTGTATGCTGACAATACAGTATTATTGTCCCATTCCAGAGCTGGCTTAAAACGCTTACTGACCCGTTGCCTTGAGTTCTTTACAACTAACAAGTTACAGCTGAATCATGGGAAATCAAAAATCCTAGACTTCTCTAAAACTTGGAAACCATTTAAATGGATAATTGGCAGGAAAGAAACAGAACAAGTTAAGCACTTCAAATACCTTGGCCTCTATTTTCAACCTATAGACATAATATTATAACTCTCAATAAAACTTATCTGGTGAATGTATTGGGGTTTTTTGGGGGGGTGGTTTCTCATTTGTGGAAGAGGAGGTGAATGGAGCATAGCAACCAAGTCTCAGTTTACTTCCCACAAATACATTTACATATTTATCTCCTTTTTTGACATATTTATTGCTTCACTGTTTTCCCCCTTAATTAAATCAAAACAGCTGCTGACCTTATAACTGTAGCTTGTTATTTATTTTGTCCTTGCATATCCTAAAAGATCTTCATCATGTTACATGCTAATTTACTGTTCAGCCATTGTCTATAAGTCTGAGCTGTTACCTCCCATTCCAATGTATTTGAAAAAGAGTGCATGCACATGAAAGCTCATGCCTAGAATAAAGTTTTGTTGGTCTTGAAGGTGCCCCTGTACTCTAAATTTGTTCTAATGTGTCAGACAAACACAGCTGCCCACCTGGATCTATCCAACCACAGAAATTAGCTTAAGCCACACCTTCACTTCCTCACTGTGAAAGGAGCCAACACGACTCATTTCAGTCCATATCATGTACTACAATGATTGAGTCATGTGAAATACCTCTTCCAGAGATGGTGAAAAGCCAGTTCCAGCCAGAATAGACAATACTTGCCTTGTTGAACCAATAGTCTGACTCAGTAAAAGGCAGCTTAATGTATATGTATCTGAGCTCCTTGATGCATCCAAGGATGAAGAGAGGTTGTACCAAGAAAAGCTGCTAGGAAGACTCTAGTGAGGGAGCCATATCAGTCAGAACTTAAGTTTCTCTATGGCACATTAGGAAAGAGAATAATGCTTGGCACACATAGTCTAATCTGTCTGGCATGCAACTGTGAGCCACGGTGGTGTTACTCACAATGCTGGCAATTACTATCGCTGCTCATTGGGTGGCGGCCTATACTAAAGGTAGAGAAATGTTTGGTTTATGCTATTTAATTTTAGTTTAATTTATAATCTGCTATTTCATGTCTTCATTCACAGACCAAACATGATTCAGCATCATGGATGGGTTCAGACTGGCTCCCAGAGAGTGAATGTGTCTAGGAAAAGCAGGACTTATGGATTTAGATTGCAGTAGCAAAAAGAGACATAATACAATATGAAAAAATAGAATTTTCCCCAGATCCTTGGTGTTATAGGGTCATTCAGATGCAGAGTGCAGCTTTACTTTTAGCAGATCTGCAGAATTGGGAAATTTAATTACTTCTTCACACAAAGACTAACTAACACATGAAATGCATTGCTTCAGGAAGTGGTGGCACCTATAAGCATGGACAGCTTCAAGAGTTGGATTAGATGACTTCCAGTTTATGGTGGCGCATTGAGCAGACTCACCTCCCAGACTTCCCGGGGGTGAAGCTGCACACCAGCAGAAAGGAGGGGGGTGAGGTATCACTACCCCCCCCCCGGAG